GTTGAGATTAATTTTCAATATGAAGATTTTCCATAAAATGGTTCTACAACCCCCGCCTCACTTTCGTATGGTGTCGGTGGCTCTTCTCAACAATCATCAAGCCGGGAGACTACATGGTCAGTCTCGATCTCCAGGATGAGTACCTTCACATCCCGATTTTTCCGGCTCTTCGAAAGTTCCTTCGGTTTGTCTTCGAGGGCACCCACTATCAGTGGCGTGTCCTCCCGTTTGGAATTTCTTCGGCCCCGTGGCTGTTCACACGGTTATCGAAGCCTATCACCTGTTTCCTTCACCGCAAGGGGATAGTGTTCGAAGCTTACATCCACGACTGCATTCAGGCGCAGACCGATCATGCCCTTTTGCTTCGTCACATGCAGTTTGCGATACAGCTTTTTCGCCAATTAGGCTAGTTAATCAATCTGCAGAAATCGGAACTAGCCCCTATGCGCCGTCTTCAATTCTTTGGAGCAGTGTTCGACACAGAGTCCAACAAACTCTTTGTCCCGAGAGATTGTTTCTGCAAGATTCAGCAATTGGTTTCTCTGGCACTGGTGCAACCCAGGACGCTTCGTCAGTGGCAGGAGCTCCTGGGCCCCTTGATGTCGGCTCAGGCGTTCACCCTCAGTTCTTTCTAGCACCTTACATCAGAGTGGGAGATCCCGTTGCCTTGATCTCTCTACCTCTGCAGCTCCATACCCATCTCCTGTGGTGGATGGAAGCATTGAATGTTTGCGACGGAGTTTGTTAAGGGCCGTTTGTTCCGTCTCACCACCTGTATGTGGACGCGTCTCTACACGGGTGGGGAGCTCAGCTTCTCAATCAACTAGTGGCAGGCCGGTGGTCTCCCATCGATCGCGTCTGTCACATCAACGTTCTGGAGTTCAGGGAGGTGATGCTTGCAATCAGTCACTGGCAGGATGTCCTACGAGCAACTTCCCTCATGATCCGGTCGGACAACGCAGCTGTGGTTTGGCATATCAACAGGATGGGGTCCACGGGGTCTACTCAACTGCTGCAGTGGACCCAACGGTTCTTCGATCTGGTGGACTCTCTCCACATCTTGGTACGAGCCACCCACATTCCGGGGCTGTAGAATGTCATCGCAGATTCTCTGTCCCGACCAAGTCGTCCCTCTCCAACGGCATGAGAATTGCATCCTCAGGTGTTCCAGACCTTTTGCCTTCCGTTGACGACTCCAACAGTAGATCTCTTCGCCACCCGATTCAACCATCAGCTGCCTCGGTTTGTGTCACCGATTCCGGATCCTCTGGCTTGGGACCTCGATGCTCTAGCCATTCTGTGGGAGGACCTGAACGCTTACGCGTTTCCACCAGTGGCCCTTCTTCCTCGCATGTTACTGAAACTGTGCGCAACTCAGGGGATGACTCTGCTTTTGGTCGCGCCCTATTGGCCGGCCAGAAGTTGGTCAGTAAACTTTCAAGACCTAGCCAAACCAGATCCCATGTCACTTCCCGTTCGACACGATCTCCTGGTACATCCGCACTCCCACCAGCTACATTGGTCCCTGTTGACGCTCCATCTGCACACTTGGCACATCTACATCAGTCATTAACGGCGAAGGGCTATTCTAAACGGATGGCTCCTGCCATTACTACAGCGCATCGTACTTCTACGAGGTCACTCTACTTTGACAAATGGAAGAATTTCGAAGCGTATTGCAGGAAGAGGGGCGTCTCATCACCCACTAGGGCGTCCCCGCAGATGGTGGCAGAGTACCTTCAGCATCTCCGAACCTCCAGAAAACTCAAAGGTTCTACACTATCTACCTATCTGGCGGCTCTTAACGCGGTTATTGCAGCTGCCTCAGGTGTGAAGGTGTCCACTGTCCCTGAACTCCAGTCTCTCCTCCAGTCTTACAAACTGGCTGACCAATCTCGGAAGTTCCCGTCCTCCAGCTTGGGATCTTTCCGTTGTACTTGCTCATCTCACGTCAGCTGATTATGAACCTTTGGAGGTGAAAGATTTCGAACATGTCTCCTTTAAGACCTTCTTTCTATTGGCCTTGGCTACGGCTGCTCGTATTTCTGAGTTGCATGCCCTTGATGTTTCTCGGGTAAGGTTTGAAAGGTCTAGACATGCGAAAGTTTTCCATGGTTTGCAGTGGAATTTTCTCGCCAAGAATCAGTTACCAGGACAGCCGGATCGCACATTCACGATTCAGCCGTTGTTCACTATCTTCGGCCCAGATGACACTGAGGATCTGTCCTTATGCCCGGTGCGTGCCTTAAGGATTTACCTAGATGCCTCACAGGATCGCCGCAGATTGCGTAAGAGATTGTTCATTCCATTGTCTACTGCCTCCACCTCGGAAGTCTCCCGTACTACTTTGGCGTTTTGGATGCGAACTACGATCCTGCGTGCTTCTGCCTTTGCTGACCTGCCTCCACCGTCGACGGCGAAGCCTCATGCGACTCGAGCTCTTGCCTCCACCATGGCTCTTCACAGAAATTGTTCCCTGCGGTCCATCATGGAGGGCTGTTTTGGCGATCAGATACGGTGTTTGCTTCACACTACCAGAGGGACCTCTCAGTTACAGACGTGGAAGGTCTACATCAATTCGGCCCCTTGGTCCTGGCGCAGCAATTGTCATTGGCCCGTGTTCGCAAATAAAGCAATCCTTCCTTGGTCAGGTTTGCTTTGTACCTAATATAAGATACCGATGTTATCCATGTCTTGGTACTTTTTTCTCTTGGGCTTAGATCATTCTCACCTATGGGAATAGGGCGTGTCTGCACTGTCATAAGTTATGACTTCATAGACTGTGAGGCCAGTCTTGTGCTACATGCAGAGATGACTCCGCTTACTGACCTCTACTCTCTGAGCAATTACGTCAGTTAAGTGTTGATTTCCGATTACCTACATGGTTTTCGAAGCGTTCTGCTCCTGAGTGCTTTCTCACCTTTGGTACGTTAGGGAGATTGGTACTGAACGTTAAACTAGTTGAGCATCCGAACTATTCCCTCTTTCACCGCCTTCCTGCGTGTGTCTGTTGGGGGTAGTTTCGAAGCAGGGACTGGCCAGATTAAGGTCCTCGACTTTAATTCACGGGGGTCACCTGATAAATCGTTGGGCGGCGGGGCCTACTTGCCAAACTGCGTCCTTTTGCTTGTCAAAAGTTGCGGCCGAAAACCACATTAATTCGGGAGCACCCACTCCCTAGAGTTTTTGTGCTGTGTAAGCCAAGGGGTTACATGAAGAAACCCATCTCAAGTTGGAGTTTGCATATCGGGAGTTGGTGCTTTCTCCTGGCCTCTTGGGTTATGCGTTTTTCCTGGTGGTAGTAACAGGGTAATCTGCGACCCGCCTACCAACCGTGGGATTGTGCATACCGTGAGATAGGATAAGTTTAAAAAATTGAAAATTTTATTATAAATTGTATATTTATATACTTATCATATCTCACGCGATAGGACCCACCCGACCTGCCCCACATCACAGATTACTAGAACCTTCAAGACGAGAATGACAGGCACAGGTAGTCACATGATCGTCTGAGCGAGCTCCATGCTTACAGAGATGATTGACAGGTGCTGATGTCGGAGTGAGGGCAGAGGTCAGGGCGGGTCAGAGGCCATCAAGATTTGATTCAACTTAGCCTACAGCACGTTTCCACACATGGTCGTAGAAGAAGAGAAGAGGTGCATACCGTGAGATAGGATAAGTATATAAATATACAATTTATAATAAAATTTTCAATTAAAGATAATATTGGGTGAGATAAACACAGCCGAATATCAGATTCGGAGCACATACATATTCAGAAATCGTCGGGCATACCCTAGCATTACACACGAGAACGGGAATATCCCGACTGGCTCGATATGAGGTGTGTTCAGATGGAATTTAGGCTTTGAAACACTGCCAAAGAAACCCTCTTGTTTGACAAGAACACGGGAATAATCCCGACTTCTTCCAAGTGGGTTCCTCTCCAGATGAAATTCTATCTACAAATAACAACACAGGCTGTGTCGGAACCTTTTTATCTGATGACCATGTCTTTAGCCCACACATGTGACATGAAATGCGAGTCAACGGCACTAGGAGTAGGCAAGGTCGAGAGCAGAAAAGGATATTGTGTTGTGTATCCCTTGTAGATTAAAGGAAGGCTTGTTGTTTATATTTGTATGTTTGTACTTTCGACAATATACGGCAAACGTTGTATATGTAACATGTATAGAAAGCATTGTATATATGCTCATGGAGGCTCCTGGGGGTACGGGTGTTCCTCTGTTCTTTTCCAGGCTTCTTCACAAGCTTTGTATTGCACTGTGGGTGAAATTCTGGACAGGAATATTGGGGCGCCTGTATTTTCAGGTGTTCCCTTGTTTGCTTCCATGAGTATGTAACAGTTTAAACATGAGGTGGAAATTGCAGTATTACTTTTGAGAATGTATAGAGTGTTGAAAATATATATAACATGTTTAACATGAAGTGGATACCTTTAATCCCTTTTTGACAATGTAACCATTTTATGGAGAAATATGTATAACTAACTACCACTACCCCCCTTTAAATCATACACACACACACACACACACACGACCGCCTCCGTGGGGTAGTGGTTAGAGCGTCCGCCCGGAGAGCGGAAGGTCGCTGGTTCGATCCCCGACCGCGTCATACCAAAAGACGTTAAAATATGGTACTTGTTGGTCCCTGCCTGGCGCTCGGCATTAATGGGTACAACAAGGACTGGTCGGCTCGGAGTCAGTATACTGTGTGTGAGTGGGGTATTTATGTTTCACTGCGGCATGGTATCTCAGTGGGCTAGCACTATAAAACCAGCTTAAGTCTGGGCTAGTACAAGCATTCGCATATACACATACACACGCATGCGCGTCGTCATCTGAGCGAAATATTCTCCAGCACGACGTTAAACCCAATTTCACCTCTCCTCACCTCACCTCACTTCACACACATGGCCATGTCCCCATTTATAGCTACTTTCATCTTAGTTATACCTCTGTCTCTCATTAACTAACAAATACTGCTAGTTTTTCACATTCGCTTCATAGCTTCCGCTTTTTTACTTCGGGCGGTGGGGTGGCCCAGTGGTTAAAGCGTATTTACTGGAATATTGCTAAAAGCGGCGTAAAACCAGACTCACTCACTCACTTGTTTACTTCATCTCATGTTTTTAAACGTTTCCATTCAAAATTCAGTTAAGTTAACGCCCCTTCATTTACATTTTGGGGGGTACGGTGGTTTATCCATATTATCATCTTAGGGACATCATTCACCATGGTAAATGCTAACGTTCAGGTCAAGTTTGTACCTAATCCTAGAGATGGACGTATATTACTCCATGCTGGTTATGAGTACCCAAAGAAGAACAGTTACAAGGAGACGATATTCTATAGATATAAAGAACATGCCAGCGGTTGTCCTGCTAATTTCAACACCAAGAATGACATCAATGTCAAGTTTGCAAGACCACACAACTACCAGTCAGACCACCACGCTCCAGATGTTTTGGAAAATATTTTTCAGGGCTTTAAACACATGCACACTATATATCATCTATTATGGAATGCGGATTTCCGAAAGCCAGCTTGTGAGTCACTTATGAGATTCGTATTATCTTAAAACCTTGTAGGCGCTTGGATAGTACTGCTGTGAACGAGATCTCCTCATCTTGCCACCACCTATTTTTCACAATGTGTGATGAAGTCAAGCGATGTCTTTGGCTTAAAAATAGAAGTCACCGGGGGTCTTCTCAAATTTCTACTAGAATATCCACAACATCAAACATTAAACTGAATCATGAGGACCATCCCATCCCATCTCACCTCTAACTGCACAGTTTGACGTAGTATGGTTGACACCAGGGACGAATCTGTAAGTTGTTCTGTATATTATTAATCTTTCTGTAACCATCTGACCAAACTTTGGAGAAAACTCCGTAATCTAGATAGAGGCGACAAAACCATTTCCACATTCATAAGAAATCTCTGCCTAAACCAGAGTTGATTGTACAATTGTGTCTATATCATGAGCAGTTATTTGTTATAGCAGTACTACAGCTGTATGATGTTGTTGGTGAATAAATCGGATCTGAACCAATCAATCCAGTGATTGTCACCATGCGATACGATGCATCACTATGAAATGAAATATCAGGTGTTCGTGAAAAGGTGGGCGTATCCTGCCCCACCGGTGGCACCCGTCATAAACATATGCCAAGTCTAGTCATTTGGTAACCTGAAATAAATCGGGAACGTATGGTATAAGCCAAAGTAGGGATTTTTTGTTACTGATGCATCACACTTTGAAATGTCCTCAATATGTCTACCATAAAACTTCTTGAAAGCTTTTCTGAGACCTTGAATGTTGTAAACTTTATCAAACAACTGATGAGCAAGAGTTGCATGGCGCTCTTTGAAATCCTAATGAAAAGAGCACACTTGCTTGTACGTCAAAAGTTGTGAAATGTAAACACCAAAGGCTGGACCGGAACTGTTGGATTATTTCTCGACGTGAACGGGAAGTATCTTGGAAAGTTGAAATCATCCCTTTTGTATAATACATGACATCATAAACTGAACAGATCACAACACTACCATCTGCAATAGCACTACATCAACTGTCTTAGCATATTTCATGTATCCGAATGTTCCATCAAATACCGTGAAGAGTCTGAGTCTTGCGAGTCACAGTCTTGCGGCCAGCCACTCTGTCCAAACACAGATTTTGTAGTTTCTTCCAGAGCTGGATATGACTTGTGTTTTCGTCTCTTTGTTGGGTAGTTGCCAACGGCATCTTGCGCAATCGCCGTAGATACTGTTGCATGTTCTTTTTGAAACCATTCGATCGTACGCCAGATGGAATGATGCTGGTGTCCCACGAGGTTAGAAAGACCGCTGCCATGACGCCAGGAACCGGATCCATAGTTCTTCGGTTTCAGGAGCGTCTGGGCAAAAATCTGGCCTGTCTCGTCTCTGATTTTAACAGCTTGGTCTCATGGCATTGAGAATTTTGGTTAGGACTAGTTGATTATTGTCTGGTGCATGAGTGAGTGCGATACCAACCTGGGAGCACACTGTGTGACGACGCTGAAATCGATAACCTGCCCTCGGAGGTGTATATATAATTTCCTGGAGAACAGGACGTTTTTCAAAACAGTTGTTAGTTTTTGCAAATAACTAGAGAACAGAATGTTTTTATTACTGAAGATTATTTGAAGATGAATGTGAAATAGTATTTATGAAGTACAGTATAAACAAAGAAAATAACTGGAGATTAGGGTGTTTGATAACAGATGACTTTTTTCCCGATCACCGCTGTGATTGTGCCCTATGGATAAAACTCTCATATGAAATGTTTACAAGTTACAAAGACGTACTTTTAGGATGTGTATACACACACACACACACACACACACACACACACACACACACACACACACACACACACACACACACACACACACACACACACACACACACACACACACACACACTACACGTCTGGGATACACACACACACACACACACACTGAACACACTGTGTACACACACACAGTTCCCTATTATGATCACAACTAGGGGTGACTATTGAGGGGGAAACAACTATTGCGATAGCGATAGTCTATTGTGATCAACTATTTCAATACTATTGCACAGGTCTTTTCTCCTTGAATTGTCTCATTTGAAGTTATTTCCCATGTTTAGTGTTTAGCTTATTTGAAATAAAAACAAGCTGAAGTAGTTTCAGTCTCTTAATAACTGACAAGAAACCCATATCAAGTTTGTTTAAGAGGTTACAGGGACGGATAACTCTAACACAGAGTGAAGGAATCTGGTACTTCTTGTATTTTGCGCTGTGCATTTATCAACAGACGTCAATTACTAAACTATCGATAGTCACACATACTGTCGATGCATCGATAGTTATTCGTTTCTACCATCGATTAATTTATATCGGAGACTCAACAATTGCAATCCATCGATAGTTCGATGCATCGTTACAGTCCTATTATTAGACACTGGTCTGATAAGGGTTTATTGACAGTGAAAGACTTATGTGATGAACATGGATTAATGCCTTTGATAAGTGAAAGATAAAATACAACATAAGAGGGACACTATTAGACTATAACTATCTACTTCACATCTTTCCTGATATTTGGAAAATGTTATTTAATAGACAAGAATCATTCCTCCCTACAATGTATACATCAATGTTTACCAAAGAAATATATGAAAGCTGCAAAAGGGTGCAAGACTATTTTATGACAAGCTGATTTCAAAAATGATAAACTTGAGATTTGTACTAAATGGGAAATGATATTCAGTGATTGTGAATTTGATTGGCACAATTTTTTAACTTCTATAGACAAGGATTGAAAGATGTTAAACATCTTTATTTTCAACACAGATTTTTGCAAAGAATTATTTGTACTAAAAAGGAATTATTGAAAATGAACCTGATTGACAATGATCTGTGTGTTTTTTGCAATGATGTTTCTGAGAGCATTTGTCGTGGTTTTTGGGAATCTTGTAAAAGCATGAAATTCTGAAATGATCTAGAACCCTGGATTAATAACTATTTACCACGAAAAATAAACATCACAAAATATTTGATTTGGTTTGGTACATTGCATAATGATGAATTACTAAATCGAATCATTATCTCTGGCAAAACATATATCAATTTATTATAAGGGTAATGCTATTTTTGAGGGTATTATCATTTGCAGAAGCGCGAGGTCTTCCATTAACTGCCCGACGAAGGATAGCAGTTGAAAAAGACCGAGGGCTTCTGCAAATGATAATGCCCTCAGAAATAGCATTACCGTTATTATTGCTAAAATACATGGAATTTGTGTTGAAAAGAAAAAGGAAACAGTGAAGGGATTTGACTGTAAGTTTACTCAAAACCAACTTCTGACGGGGTTGACTGACCGAATGCAATTACGTCATCGAACAATTCAAGTGACGTCACAACAGAACGTGACGATATTCGACCTTGGCCTTTGACAAGACCATGGACTGCAACATGTCAAACTATGTCAGACACAACGTCAGTTTTCGGTTTTGGTCCAACAACAACGTTAATAGTGCAATTGTTAAGGTTAGCACCAGCAAGAAAGCCTATATTACCGCTAAAGCGGGAATTCGGGTTGCTTTGACTTGTTTGCCCCAGAATATCTGCCAGTACAGTCCAAAGCCCATGTCGAATGAACCGTGAGCCCACGCACCCACTATGACGTCACTTGACAACAGAACTGATAGTGGCCCGTCGTTAAGGTTGAGCGGTCCAATATCATTTCCAGCGCCCGCAAATATTTGATAATAGGTTGGCCGTTTCATGATAATTCCATGTATTTTAGCTATAAGTAATGTTTAAGCAATCAATTCCAAAATTCATTAATTATTAAACGGTATTAAAAGCAATATCTTCAGTAGAAAAATGTATTTCAAAGAGAAACAATGAAATTGAAATTTCAATCATAATTGGAATTCACTCATCCCAATATTCAGCAACTAAGTATAATTACATCTTTACAGCAATCTATCTTCACCTTTTCTGTGTTTGTTGTTACTGTATACCTTTGATGCTGACTTTGTAACCATGGGAACCAATAATAATAATAAAGAATCTGATAGATTGCTTTTTACAGGAGGTGGCCCGTATAGACAAACATATTTCAGAATCCTCTTTCCACAACATATTGCATATATAAGACACTCAAAGAACTGAATGCACACTTGCAAGGCTTCAGATTATACACATGATTCTGCACAACAATTTTCATGAGTATGAAGAAAGTATTTAAATCATGAGAGCATGAGATCGGCTCTAAATCATGGTGGCGTCTAGTCAAAAGGTATATAAATCAATACATTCCTTATAATCAGTTTCCTACAGTCATCTATAAAGTCAATATATTCGACAACGACCAAGGAACTGCTACAGCTTTAAACAACCTCCTCTCTGAACCAGTAGTAGTTTTGCTATCTAAAAACGAAATGTTTGTCCAGATAGACGATGGGCGAGCCGGTGTTGATTGACAGCTGAATATGTCGAGGGCGTAGCCCGAAACCACAATATATACCGTTTATGGATAGTAGTATCCATGAATGTTCAAACTATAGACCAGTTGCTTTAACAATCTTTGAGAAGTGCACATTCAAACATACTTATAATGTCTTCCAATCAAATCATACGTTAATCAGTGCTCACTCCGGATTTAGACGTGGCGATTCTACATGGTATCAACTAACTGATTTGTATCAGACGTTATCTAAAGCACTTGAAGAGGTAAGAGAAATTAGAGCCGTGTTCTGTGATATCAGCAAGGCTTTTGACGGTGGCATCAAGGCTTCCTGGACAAACTCTGGTCTTCGGGTATAACTGGAAAATTATGTAACTGGTTCAAAAGTTACCTAAGAACTAATTTGTGGTTATCAACGGTCATAAATCTACCCAGCGGCCGGTCTTCGCCGGTCTGAGCGGCAGGTGACATTTAGCCCAGTGAAAACCGAAGCCATGCTATGCTGTTTCCTAAAAGTAACTTTTCCAGCCCCACAGCCCTCTCATAAATTGTTTACGGAGTCTAAAATATCGCCTCAAGAGCGAAACACTCTACATCCTGTATAAATCAGTCATGATTCATACATTTGATTACTGCGATCACATGTGGGATAACTGGACACACGAACAATGTAAACTAGCCCTCCAAAGTATCTGTGGTGCAGTAAGAGGCACGAACCACGAACGTATATACAGAGAAACTGGACTCCTTTCTACCGTCTGTTATCCAAATTTGGAACTCCCTTGCTAGTACTACCCGAAACGCCCCAACACTTGCACAGTTTAAACGTATCATAAACAAGAATAGACCTCTGTGTCCAAATGTCAGACAGTATGCTAACTTCGGATCACGCCATTGTCAGATAATACTATGCAGACAACGTCTTGGTTGTAGCGATTTGAACTCTCACCTTGTTGATAGGCATTTGCCTGGAAACCCCTCCTGTCCTTGTGGCCATTCCACAGAGGATCCACTACATTATGTTTTTGTCTGTCCTCGTTTTAATCACTTGAGACAAAACAGATATTTCTACGTTAAAGGATTTGATATCAAAACTATTCTATAAGGTGATACTGAGAGTAATAACCTAGTAACATCAGTCCACAATTATATTCAAGAAACAAATCGATTCACTAATATATAAAATCTAGCAACGATACTTGACTACTCTATTAAGACTGTACCGTTATTATCAGTTTAACTCCAAGAAACTTCACAACATCAACAATGTGGATGCGCATTTTGTTTCCTTTAATTAATGTGTGACGTCTGTGTGTGTATATTCCATATTATGTGGAGAGAAGCATTTACATAGGCAATTGTGCCTGTTTGCCAATCCCCCAAATCCTATTGTGTGTAAATATATACATATACATGGCATCTGAGGAAATAAATATTGTTTAAATCAAAATTACCTTCGCTTTCAAACAAGTCTGGAAGACTTGTGTCTGTGGTCCGAACTTCTAACAAATCAGCGAGATTTCCTTGTTGTTGAAGTATGGATTTACTTGGAAGACTGCACAAGTTCTGTCAGGTGATCCAAAGTTCTAGCCAATAAAACAAAGCTTGCTTTGCCGGAAAGTATTAGTGACCGTGCATGTGTGACTGTGAACGCTTTCGATTGCATCGGAATGTGTGTACTGAATCTTGCAAAACTAGTTTGATGTCCTATACGTTGATATATTTATTACACGGGTCACTTACAAAGGTTGCAATTTCGATCAACGGAAATATACAAACAACACATGACTTGTCATTACATGCACTGGGTTTAAATGGAACATAAATCTCTAGCAAGAGACATTTACATGTGTTTACATGTTACCATATCACATGTTACAACCATACATATATGTCTTTTTAATAGTGTTGTACTTCTTGTGGTTTTCCATAGCATTGGGCTAATAGTTTAAGTTTCCCTCTTCATGCCGTCCCGAATCTCTTCCGGAGATGGATCTGTCGGATGTAGCGGTCTTCGACAGATGTCGTGACTCTAGTCTTCTCGATCTGTTATCTGTTATAGAGAAATTTTATTGCCGCTTCATGGACGTCCTCGCAGCTGCCAGATAAGTATAGTAGGTAGAATTCGACACTACTTGCCGCTTTCCACATCCTCCAAGAATACTTGTCCCCGCATCGGTGAATGTTATGTGCGAAACTATACTGGTGGAATAAAGTAACTGGGCATTATTTGATGTTATGTCATTTTTTAATGCAAAATGATGTTAATAACATGACTTGTGGTGTTTTCCTTAATCTCTGCTTAACTGCTGACAGGATAATATCAAAATCTGTACGATTTGACTCTAGACCTCGTGACTCACCATTGAATAGATGTGGTGTCAAAAGTCAGTTAACAAATTCAGTATCGTGTGTGTCCACCATTATCGTTGATGCAGACTTGACAACGACGGCACATAGACGACATTAAGTGATTGAAGAAAGCTTGGGGAATGTTGTTCCATGTCTGAACCAACGCTTGTCCCCATTCAGCTAACGTCAATGGGTTTGACATAAACATTCTGGGTTTGACATAAACATCGCTCCATTTCATCCCAAGCGTGCTCGATAGGGGACATGTCCGGAGAAATAGCTGGCCATGGGAATACAGGAATATTCTGCTGTCTCAGACTATTGTTTCAAATATTAGTCAATAGTTTGCCAGAAACACTGAAAAGTGACATAGCAGGTAATTTTATCTCCATTTTTTATAAAATGGGATAATGATAGCTACGTGTTTCAAAACAATATTTTCACATATAACTAATCAACTTTAAATTATACACTGTGCTCACATTCACTTGACTGGGAATATTTTAGTCTGACGTTAGTGGGGTCCGTCATATTTTCTGAGCGTATTCATTTTAAGTTCGACCAGGGGTACACAGCTTGGTTACATGCAAGGTCAGACAACGGGTAGACACTGCATAATCACTAAATCACAATAGGACTCTATACAAATTCTTCAGTTGGAGATATATTTTACAGCCATTTTAACAGCAAGTTTGGATATAAAGGTGAAATAAAATGCTATTAATTACGTTACAATATGTTTTCGTCCTCCTCCTCCCAAAACCTTCAAAGTACATTTCAGCTTACCAAAATTTTTAAACGTAGCATTTGTGTGATTTTAATTTATGGCTTAACCTTCCTACAATCGCCAGCGGCAGAAGGGATGGTATAAATCCAACTTGGGTCCATGCAGGTAGCAAAGGTACTGCAAGTCCCCATGGTCCCTAGTATGGTGATCTACCTTCGGTTGCCGGTGATCTATAGCCCGTTTTTTTATATTGTATTGTCCTAATTTGAAATCCAGTTTTAGAGATAGATACTAGTTTTATTTATTGTGTCTGTGATGTTCTAGTTGGTTTTACTGTCCTTCGTTGACAGGTTTATATAACTTACATGTATTTATGATGAATTCAAAACTTCTTTATAGTCACGATATGGCTGAAATATTGCCGATGTGACTTAAAATCTTAACTCACTCACTCACTACAATATCTACTAGACACATAAAGGAACTGTGCACACAGAATATTCCTTCAGAATTCGAATACGACACAGAAAAGACGAAATGAAGTAGACACTTTCTAAGCTGAAGTATCGGACCACAAGAAAATGTCAAAAGAACATGAGCAGTATCCGTAACGATGACGTCAGAAGTTCAAATCAAGTAGGGGGTCACACGACGAAGTCACAAAGTCAATAACGGGTATGACCACCATGTGCGTGAAGCACAGCAGTGCATCGACGATACATAGAGGCTAGCAAATGAGCATTGAAGGCCCGATGAATGGTCTGGGACGTGGTCACTGCCGTCTTGAACCTGTGTCTGAGAAGAGTCACCCGAATCCATCTGTCCTGTCTTGGCGTCGTTACGTCGGGGACGCCCAGAACGTGGGTGGTCGGCGACGTCATTACTGTTTCGATAACGCCGGACCAATGCAGATATCGTGTTACGATGGCATTGGAAATGTGCTGCCACCTGTTGTTGGCTAATTCCTGTTTGAACCATTCCAATGGCTTCTTGACGTTGAGCAGATGTTAATCTTGGAATGATGTGCATGTGACTCCTCATGTGAATTTGTGAACGTTTGAATGACCAAAGATCAAACTTTCTACAGTGACAGCAATTTCTCAGGTTTACATGTTGTGTACAGCTGCACGGGCTGCACATGCAGTAAAACATTGCAAGTGCATAGGCCACAATCAATGACGTCACGTCGCTTGACACGTGCTTGAGCGTTTGATTGTCTCCAATACTTGCTATGTTCATACCTGTATTTATGTATAAAGACGCCGTGTGCCTATATGTATATTTTCTGTGTGCACAGTTTCTTTATGTGGCCAGTATATTTTCAACAAACAATCATCATTACTATTGTTTACATGTTAACATCTTTAAAAGCAACACGTTTAGAGTGCTTCAGTAATGTTTATTGTTGCTGGAATTAAACAGAAAGGGAGTTATCGTTCTTGTTTGATGTAGTATTCATGTACATACGTCAATAAACATCCTTCCAGAGGGCACCCGTCAAGATCCGCATTACAACTGATCTTCAGTAACCCATGCTTGTCGTAAGAGGCGACTAACGCGGGATCGGGTGGTCAGGCTCGCTCACTTGGTTGACACATGTGAACGTATCCCAATTGCGTAGATCGATGCTAATGATGTTGATCACTGGATTGTCTGGTCCAGATTCGATTATTTACAGACCGGAGCCATATAGCTGGACTTCTCATACGGTTGAACATCAACACAGACCAAATGTGTTAAAACATGATTTGAAGTCCGCACCATCTACACAATTACCAACTCTTGTATGCTACTGTTACACATTACACTGATAATGTCACCATGCTGATTTTCCTTGCTGGAATTTGAACTGCGATGTTTGCATCTTGACAACATCAAGGGCTTCCAAGTTAAAATACATCACTTCAAATAAGCACATCTCGGCAAAGAATAACCACTGAAACCTCTGTATGAAAGCAAAGTGATACAATATTCACAGAATTGTAATTTACGTAAATTGCGCGAGATTAATATTATCAAAAATTCTATGAGATTGATCATCTGATCTGATCTAAAGAACTAAACAGAATCACACAACAGTCGCGATTTATCTTCGGGCTATTCAGCACATCCTGCTAGCCAAGAGACGCAACTGTATGTGTTCATATATTGCCTTATCAAGTCGTTGTTCATGCTCCGCTGTTCATACAACTATACCAAAGTGGAATGCTGAATGCTTTTAGGTCTGAAATACACGTCTTTGGTCAGCATATGCGTGATGCAAGGAACTTGCTTCTTTTCGTTCATGGATGTGTCACTTCCATACGATGATTCATACCAGACTGCTAATCTCTGATTTACGAAGGTCAGCAGCGTTGTGAGAAGCACGTTGCATTGCACGGTGTTAGGACCTTGCGAAGGCTCTGTGTAAACCACGCGCCAGTGTCCCTGCGCCACGCATAGTAACCTGAAACGATACGTCAGACATCGTGAGTGAGTGAGTTTAGTTTTACGCCGCATTCCAGCTATATGGCGGCGGTCTGTAAATAATCGAGTCTGGACCAGACAATCCAGTGATCAAACAGCATGATCTGGGAACCGATGACATGTGTCAACCAAGTCAGCGAGCCTGACCACCCGATCCCTGTGTCGCCTCTTACGAGGGTTACTGAAGACGAGTGGTAACCTGTATCTTCACTGGTCCATCCTTAAAGTGAGTAAGGTTGCTTGCCGCTTGTTGTAAGTCGGGATACAATAAAGGTAATCAGAAAGGGGCATTAGACGTTGCTTCCATGTGGGGAATGAACCCGGGTCTTTTGCGTGACGAGCAAACGCTTTAACTATCCACTAGACTACCCGACAGCCCATGTTATCAATATAGAAATGTGTGCGAATGTATGTGGGCTTATAAACAATCCAGTGATTGTTACTGTGAGCTACAGTGACGGTGGGGTAGCCCAGTGGTTAAAGCTTTCGCTCGTCACGCCGACGACCCGGGTTCAATTCCCCACATGGGTACAATGCGTGAAGCCCATTTCTGGTGTCCCCCGCCGTGATATTGCTGGAATATTTTTCTAAAAGCGGCGAAAAACTAAACTCACTCACTGATTCACTATTGTGAGCTACGACGCATGTCGTCAGCCTTAAATGAATATTGCCTGTGAATGAATGAGCGAGTTTGCTTACACGCCGCTTTTAGCAATATTCCAGCAATATCACGGTGGGGACAAAAGAAATTATTCCCACCAGGGATGCGAACCCGACCCTTGGCGTGACGAGCGAAAGCTTTAACCACCAGCCAACCACACCACCCTCACAAGAATACATGGAGTATCATACGGAAGCGTAGTAGGGCCATGGTGAATTTTGTTTTAGTCTCATGATCTCCTACGTACGACTTAGTATCTCTTACGACTTAGTATATCTTACGACTTAGTATATCCTACGTAGTGCTTATTATTTCCTACGGAGGACGTACTATCTCCTACGTAGGACTTAGTATCTCCTGTTTCAATCACTAACAGAATCTACTGCCATGTGTTTCATTCACTAATAGAGTCAACTGCCATGTGTTTCATTTACTAATAGAGTCTACTGTTTCATTCAATATTAGAGTGATGTGTTGAATGTGTTGCAACTAATTGTTGTTGCACATTATTGTTATGTGTTGAACTAACTGTTGCACATTACTGATATGTATTGGACCGACTGTTATACTTTACTGCCTTGCGTTCAATTGGCTCTACTATTACGTGTTGCATTACTATGTGTTACGCCAAAGTTACTGTTACGTCAAACTGTCACGAACAAACAATCTATGCAAACAATTCGAGCAGTGTAGTAGTTTTGTATCCGATCCAACCTAGCCCCAGCTGAAGGACGCTTGTTGTTTTAACAAGAGTTTCGTTATCATGGATCCGGTCATGCGACAGTGGCATTGATCATGAATCATTATATGGCTCTACAGCGGTTTACAAGTATGTAAAAGCATAATATTTCTGCCCTCTGTGTATGAATAGATGAATGAGCCTTGATAGATCAAACATCATATCCTCATCCCCTATACCCAAACCTCCATAACTGCAATAACAACTGAACACCTTCCACTTAATACACATACACAATAACACTGTATAGTAACACTGCGTTAGTTTCATGTATATTCAATGACTCACATTTCTACCATATAACGTCCTGCATGACCAAACACTTCTCAACTTAATACCCACACTTCACAATCCGAATCTAAAAAAGGAACCTTTTCTGCAATAATTCACTGCTACGATTGGCGATAACGACGCATGTCAACGATCGTACAATTACGAGTAGTATACGCGATGGTGATACTGCTGCACTACAGCCTGTGGCATTTTTCATGGCCAATAATGCCCCACCGATGGTCGAAAAATAGAGAAAACGTCGTCGACCATCTTTCAATGTTTCCCATATTTTTATACATTAAAATGTGGTACTTATGGATAGACCACATCGGGTTGGTGGCGCGTTGTTGTCGAATATCTCCATTTTGGACGCATTTCCTTTTCCATCAATCGTAAAACGAAACCATAAAGATTTGATGATACGGTTTCTGCTGGTTGAGTATATCTGAAATTAACAGGTAAATGATCTCGTTTGAATAAATATTTAGAAAGTCTAAAAGAATTCCCCACTCTTTTTCAGAGGGAACCATCCGATGAAACCCTTCAACAAGTTTATCAACAAAGTTTTCGTCTATCCACCCAATTTGTATGTTTTCCATCTCAAGGAGTTGAATTATAATATTCCCCATGTAGTATGCCATTGCTATGCACATAGGTACACGTTAGTCTAATTGTGAAATATCGAGGAAACAATTTAGCGTTATTCTCCTATGATTTCTTTGGTTTTGGTAAGGAAGGCTTGACTTGTTGTCTCCCTTGTTCTATGAGCTTTTTGTGCTCCTCTTCGCTCATGTCACTTGTCTTACGAGACTTGGTTCTTATCTCTTGTTTCATCCTGTGGTATTTGGCGAGTTGAGACTGCACCAGCCTAAACTCTTCCTCGGATATCTTACTATCGGATAGGGCTGTGGAGATATGATCCTCTATAGTATTAACTTCACTTCGGCCAGAATGCGAATTTCGTCGTGTTTCAACGCTTTATGTTGCAGCTGGCGTGAAATAAATTTAAGAGCTATTCCCACCAATCCCGAGGCCCCAGCCGCTATTTCAATGCCAAGCACGCGGCCACGATGGTGGACAATAACCCAACTCCGGCCGCACCTAACCCCATGCTGACTGCTACGAGCACGGTGTCTGCGCTGTCAATTGCATTCACAGCTCTGCGGTATTTTTGTGCAATCCGATCCCTGTATCACGTTCCATTTCCAGTTGGTGTCTGATGTCGCTGATTTGTCGCAAACAATCCATCCACGGTTTCCAGTCGTCTTTATGACAAGGGAGGTACAACGAGAATGTTGCATTATGACGACATCAGTTGCTCTGTGGTCACGAGGGGCGGTGGGGTAGCCTAGTGGTTAAAGCGTTGGCTCGTCACGCCGAAGACCCGGGTTCGAATCCCCACATGGGTACAATGTGTGAAGCCCATTTCTGGTGTCCCCCGCAGTGATGTTGC